GCGGCGGCGGCTGCAGCGACGGCTGCGACGGCGGCGGCGGCGGAGACGACGGCTGCAACGGCGGCGGCGGTGGAGACGACGGCTGCAGCAGCTGCGGCGACGGCGGCTGCGGAGGCGGTGGAGGAGGAGACACCGGGGGAGGGACAGACGGCGAGGACTGCGCCGGAGGACTACCAGAGTCAGAAGACTCGTCAACCGGGACGACCGACGGGAGGGGGGTGACGTGAGACACACCAGAGGGGGCCGGACGGGGGGGCGGGGGGGGGGAGGGGCAGGGACCACCAGGGAGGGAGGAACCAGGAAAAGGGGGGGAGTAACCGGGGGACCACGGTGGGGAAAGCGGCGGTAGAAGGAGACGGACTCGTCAAAGGTGACGTCGCGAGAGTGAAAGAAGCGGTGAGACGGCGGGTGGTAGAAGTGCCAGTCGGACGCGTCAAGGGGGAAACCGAGGAAGACGCAGGGGAGGGTGCGGGCAGTGAGCTTGTCCGTGCCAGAGGCACGAACGTGAGCAAGGCAGCCCCAGACGCGGAACGCAGACGCGTCACCAGGGGACCCGGTCCACAGAAGGGTCGGCGAAACCTGCGGCCGCTGGGGGTGCGGCCACAGGTTAAGCTGGTGAGCGGCGTAGCGCACGGCGAACGGCCACAGAAAATGGGGTGCACCGGCGTGGATCATGGAGGTGCGAGCCACCTCCATGACCAAACCGATGCGTCGCTCAGCGACCCCATTCTGCTGCGGGGAGTCCGGCAGGGTAAACGTCTGGGTGATGCCCTCCGCACGACAGAAGCGACCAAGGACACCTGAGGCAAACTCGCCACCCCGGTCGGAGTGAAGGCGCAAGGCAGGGAGACCGCGGTGGACGCGAGCAGAGACAAGCCAGGGGATGAGAACGTCAGGCACGTCGGCCTTCCGCTCCAGGGGGAAGACGGTGGTGTAGCGCGTGAAGTCGTCGACAAGCACTAGGAAGAAGCGCTCGCGACGCGGCCCATGGACCGGGGCTGGGCCCCAGACGTCCATGTGCAGAGTCTGCAGTGGTGCGGTGGTAGGGGGAAAAGAGGAGGAGTGAGGGGCACGGCGGAGCCGGCCCTCGACACAAGGCGTGCACGGTGGGGCGGGGGAGGAGGGAAACTCGGGGAACGAACCGGGGAGACCAAGGACGAGACCGTGCTGGGACATGTGACGCAGACGTGGGAGTGCAGGGTGACCAAGGCGGTGGTGCCAAAGGAGAGTCGGGTGAGTGAGGGACCGACAGGAGCACGCGGCTGCAACCTGGGTGGACGCAACTACCGGGGGGGAAGACCCAGCCGGGGACGGCGCGGTGTCAAGTGTGAACAGGCCGGACACCGGGTCCCGGGGGAAAGTGGACAGGGGGGCACCAGTGGCGGCCTCGGTACAGACAGCATACCGCTCGTGACCAGGGAACGTAGTGGTGACGCCAAGGTCCTGGAGGCAGCCGACACCAACTAGGTTCCTGGAGAACGAGGGGATATGCAGACCTGTGAGAGTGCCCGAAGGAACCGCCGGACAGGGGAGGGAGGTGGAACTGCGGGCAACGACGGGACCACCGGAGGGGTCAGCAAGAGTAACTGCAGCGGGAACAGGCAGCGGCGTCAGCGTCGTGGAGTCGCGGAAGAAACACCGGGAGGCGCCAGAGTCCAAGGTGAAGGAAAGCGCAGCAGTCGCGCGAGGCAGCAGTGAAGCGGTGGAAGCACCAAGGCTAAGCAAAGCAGGAGATCCTACGCCTGACGCAGCAGGGGAGTCTACGCTAGGCACCGCTACACTAGGCAACACGGGGTAATAAGAGGGAAGCACACTAGAGTCATCAGCATACATCACATGCAAGGCCGCTACAATGGCATCCATGTCCAAGTCAAAAATCCTAATGCTACGCCTAAGCAAGCTGTGCCAGTCCGGGAGGTCGGGCGCCGGGCCAAAGCGCTGGCGGAACAGGTCGTCCAGGCGACGAAAACAGCGAGGAGTAGAATGACCGATCTTACCGCAAACGAAGCCGCGGCGAGGACCGGTCTGGATGTGGTACTGACAGGGCCCGCCTCCAGAACCACCACCCGGTGCACCACCACGCGCACGACCACCACCAGCTCCAGGCCACCCAGGTGGGAGAGTACTCGCCTGCCTCGTCTGCGGCGGCTGCTGCGGCTGCTGCGACGGCTGCGGCTGCGGCGACTGCTGCTGCTGCGGCTGCTGCAACTGTGGAGGCAGCGGGGCAGCTGGACCGGGCAGGGTCCCCACGTCCGCACCGGCACCGGACGACCCGCCTCCACCACTACCCCCACCCGCACCCCCGCCGCCTCCGCCGCTCCCAACCTTGGGGCGGCGGCCCTTCGCCGAGCGGGACTGCACTGCAGCAGCAGTCTCAGCCACAGCGACAGAGCCGTCGGAGAAGGTACACTGAGCGGGGGCACAACCCTGAAAGATAGGGACCGGTACTGTACCGCTCGCCAGGGCTATGGAGCGGTGACGAGTCTCTATGGCAGTCAGGGTGTCAACAAAGTCGGTGAGGGTGAGAGCAGCAGGGTGGATGCTAAGGAACTGGTCGCGGGCGGCGGCAAGGCGGTCAGGTAGGCGGGTGGCAAGGAGGTAGAGGGTAGATGTCATGGGAGGCTGGTGGACTCTAAGCTGAGCATCAGTGCAGGCAGCGCGCCAGGCCTCATCTATCGAGCGCAGGTGGGCAGCGAGGTCAGAGACAGTGGGGAAAGACGCCAGGTCAGGAAAGAGCAGGGGAAGGATCAGGCGACCCACTGAGGCAGCAGGAGGGGTAGAATAGCGCTTGATGACAGCATCGAGGTAGGCCTGGGCGGTAGGAATGGTTCTAAAGCGAGGGCGCTCAGTGGGGGGGAGGGCATTGCTAATGGCGAGCTGAGCAAGGGCATCGCGGGAAAGCCAGACAGAGCGGGCAAGGGCAGCAGCGGCAGTGGACTCGCGCTCAGCGGGCGTGGGATCAGCGGGCAGCACAGCAGGGGGGTCAGGGCAGGGGAGCATACCGTCTAGGTGTGCAGAAAGCGGGTGGCCGTCCTGCCGCTGGCCAGTGAGGTGGCGGCGAAGGTCAGCCAACCACGCCTCGAACTCCAGAGGCTGACCCTCAACATCAAAACGAAGCTCAGCAGCCATGAGGGGCAGTGGAGGACAGTGCAGTGCGGTGCAGTGCGATGCAGTGCGGTGCAGTGCGGTCCAGTGCGGTGCAGTGCGATGCAGTGCGGTGCAGGGCGGTCCAGTGCGGTGCAGTGCGGTCAGTGCGATCCAGTGAGGTGCAATGCGATGCAAGGCGGGGCAGGAAAGTGCAGGAGGGTGCAAAGTGGTGCGGGGAACGGGGGACAGTACCAGGAAGTATGGAGGGCCGGGGCAGGTGCGTCGGGGCCGGGCAGGCACGACAAGGCCGGGCGGCGGCGACGGGGCCGGGCGGCTGCGACGGGGCCGGGCGGCGGCGACGGGGCCGGGCGGCAGCGACAAGGCCGGGCGGCTGCGACGTGGCCGGGCGGCTGCGACGGGGCCGGGTGGCTGCGACGGGGCCGGGCGGCAGGGACGGGGCCGGGCAGGACACAGCAGGGCCGGGCAGGGGCGACGGGGCCGGGCGGCTGCGACGGGGCCGGGCGGCAGCGACAAGGTCGGGTGGCAGGGACGGGGCCCGGGCAGGACACAGCAGGGCCGGGCAGGGGCGACGGGGCCGGGCGGGCGAGCAGGGGCCGGGCAGGGCGACAGGGGCCGGGCAGCCGCGACAGGGGCCGGGCGGGCGCCACGTGGCCGAGAGGCCGCGACGGGGCCGAGCAGGGGCGACGGGGCCGAGCAGGGGCGACGGGGCCGAGCAGGGGCGACGGGGCCCAGGAGGGGCTCGACGGGGCCCAGGAGGGTAGCTACGGGCCCAGGAGGGGCGCTACGGGCCCAGGAGGGGCGCTACGAGCCCAGGAGGGGCGCTACGGGCCCTGGTAGGGGCGCGAGGGGGCTTGGGAGGGGCGCGACGGGGCTGGGGAGGGGCGCGACGGGGCCTGGAGGGGCGCTACCAAGCCCAGGTAGGGGCGCGACGGGGCCTGGGGGGAGCGCAATGGGGCCCAGGAGGGGCGCTACCGAGGCCTGGGAGGAGCGCGACTGGGCTAGGGAGGGGCGCGACGGGGCTGGGGAGGGGCGCGACGGGGCCTGGAGGGGCGCTACCAAGCCCAGGTAGGGGCGCGACGGGGCCTGGGGGGAGCGCAATGGGGCCCAGGAGGGGCGCTACCGAGGCCTGGGAGGAGCGCGACTGGGCTAGGGAGGGGCGCGACGGGGCCTGGGAGGAGCGCAATGGGGCCCAGGAGGGGCGCTACGGGGCCTGGGAGGAGCGCGACGGGGCCCTGGAGGGGCGCTACCAGGCCCTGGAAGGGGCGCGACGGGGCCTGGAGGGGCGCTACGAAGCCCTGGAAGGGGCGCGACGGGGCCTGGAGGGGCGCTACGAGGCCCTGGAAGGGGCGCGACGGGGCCTGGGAGGAGCGCAATGGGGCCCGGGAGGGGCGCTACGAGGCCTGGGAGGAGCGCGACGGGGCCCTGGAGGGGCGCTACGGGGCCCAGAAAGGGGCGCAACGGGGCCCAGGAAGGGGCGCGACGGGGCTAGGGAGGGTCGCGACGGGGCGAGGGAGGGTCGCGACGGGGCTAGGAGCACGACGGGGCCCAGCTAGGGGGCGAGCGGAAGCGTGAGGGGGGGGGGGGGGGGGATCCTACCTACGCGTGATACCATATCAAACAGTAAAATTAATTGAATAGAGAGAGAGAGTACACAAACATATACCTAACTGTTGTGCTCTCTAGAAGATGACCCTATACAGTCTATACAAGCATGATAAATAAACATGTTTGACACTGACGACTATGCAAAGGTCATGCAACAAGACCAGAAAAGGCTTCAGCTGAGAGTGGTGGCGTTTTTGGTAAACCAGGGTTCGGAGCCGGATTCCTGGGCACGCGGGCTTTTCCCGAACAGCTGGGACAAATTTGTCAAGGCAGATTGCAGCAGCACTCGCAACAAGTCCAAGTCTGGTTCTACCCCAGCCACTAGTTTGACACGTGCAAATTGATGGATGGATGGATTTCTGCATGCTATTAAGCTGAATAAAGGCCCCCAAATTGGTGTTGGGGGCGTCGGATTCATCAGACTTCTGGTCATGCCATCCATGATGCCATCCCTTGGTACGGCCATCTCATAAGAGTTGCCCCTTGAAAGAAATTCTGGAAAAATTGTTGTCTGATCAAGCAGAGACACACAATTTTTTACGCTGATTTAAATTGAGAACTCAACCACCATACTTGGATTCTCCGGCTGCATTGACCTGCTACCAATGCCCTATTACTTGCTCTTGAGAATCAACCAGCTGGTCAGGGGCACAGCCATCTGCAAGTGGCAGCAGCATGAGCATGCGCACGTGGTGCATATGGTAGTCACATGCGCATAGCAGCATGAGTGATCAAGCATGCATGGTGGCATGAGAGTCATGCATGCATGGCGGAATGAATGATCACGCATGCATGGAGGTATGAATGATCATGCATGCATGGCAGCATGAGAGTCAGGCATGCACTGGTGCGAGGCCCATCATGTGTGGCCACGGACAGGCCGCGATGGCTGCAGATTGCATTGGGAGGGATTGGACGGGGAAGAAGGGGGTACCGATGCGGTGAGATGTAGCAAAGAACCACTATGGGAGGCTGGAGGGGTGTGTGTCACGCATGCAGCAGAGGTGTCACGCATGCAGCAGAGGTGTCACGCATGCAGCAGAGGTGTCACGCATGCAGCAGAGGTGCCACGCGAGCAGCAGCAGATAATAGGGGCTTCAAAAGTGCGCCACGGGTCACACGTGTAAGCTGATTAACATGAAAGCGGACTCGATAAAGTGGAGAAAGAAGAATATACAAGAAAACGAACAGAAGTGCAGCAGTTAAAGTGAAGAGGCAGAAAAAGGATGACAAGTGGGGTGGATAGTACACACTCGATATAAAGTGTAGGAAGTTGACATGCAACAGAGTACTACGATCATTCATACCTGATTGCTGGGAGAGGCATAGGGATCGGAGCCCATCCCTGCACCCCTGCTGCTAGACCCATGCCCAGTCCCATGCCCATGCCCACTCCCATGCCCATATGCATAGGCTGAAGCAGCAGCAGCAGCAGATGTGGCAAGAGCAGGGCGGTACGGGAGTGATGGGGCGGGGGAGGGGAACCCGGGCGAAGGGGGAAGGAGGCCGGAGGAGGGGGGAAGGCCTGTAGCATCAAGAGAAGAGGAGGCGGGGCGAGACGGAGCGTCGGGGTCAAGAGGCAACTCGTCTAGCGTCTGTTTGGGTGGATGGGAGGGGGCACGGGGAGGGAGGAAGAGAGAGAAAAAAGGTTAGGGGAGAGGGCGAGGAGGCTGGAGGAGGGGGGAAAGCCCGTTGCGTCGAGCGGGGCGGGAGGGAGCATCGGGATCGAGAGGCAACTTGTCTAGTGTCTGTTTGGGAGTGAGAGAGGGGGAGCAGGGTGAAAGACAAGTGGGTGAGAGGAAGGAATGAGGTTACAGAGAAAGGGGGCGTCGTGGTCAAAAGGCAGCTTGTCTAGCGTCTGTTGGGGTGGATGGGAGTGTGGAAGAGCGAAGTGACAAGGAGCGAGAGATGTCTTTGATAGGCGTCTCTCCATTGCCGCTCCATAAACAAGCATATACCTACAATTTTATACACCTATACCACCACACAAAAGCATTCACCCAAGTGGCCTTCTGCAGCATTTGATAGAGGCCTTTGATAGACTCTCTGATTAGCTTTCAGCTGTATTCTCACACAAATAGCCACGTATGAGAACACATACCATGCGGCCTGCTGCAGAACTGCATACATGTCCTTGCACCACTGCCTCTTCAATCAGTGTTCTCCTTTTATGCCATGCCATGCCATGCCATGCCATGACATGACATACTCACCCAAGCAGCCTGCTGCAGAACTGTATACATGTCTTTGCACCGCTGCCTCTTAAACGAGCTCATACCCACGATTGCCCACCAATACCACCCGCCCACACATACGCACTCACCCAAGCGGCCTGCTGCAGCACTGCGTAAATGTCTTTACACCGCTGCCTCTTCAACGAGTGTTCACCTATGACCACGATTTTGCAGGGTGTTTTTGAGAATTCTCAAAAACACCCTGCAAAATCAACGAGTGTTCGCCTATGAACACACGCTGAGTCAGCCGCTTCGGGAGTCATCGCTGAAGCCGGCTGAGACGCCGATTTCGGAGCGCAGGGGACCAGCAAACACCTGTGTGGAACATCTACGCATGCCATGCCATGACATACACACCCATGCAGCTTGATGCAGCACTGCGTAGATGTCCTTGCAGCGCTGCCTCATCCATGAGCTTTACCTATGACCACACACCCATGTACTCACACCAACCACTCACCCAGGCAGCTTGATGCAGCACTGCGTAGATGTCCTTGCAGCGCTGCCTCTTCAATGAGCTTGCACCCATTCTACACTTATACAAACCCACTCACACCAAAGCACTCATCTATGCGGCCTGCTGCAGCACTGCGTAGATGTCCTTGCACCGCTGCCTCTTCAAAGAGCTTACATGCCTGATTTCACACCAACAAACACCTGTTGAACAGCCAATACTCACCCATGCGGCCTGCTGCAGCACTGCATATATGTCCTTGCAGCGCTGCCTCTTCGATGCTATGTCTTCCCTCTCCTGCAGCATCTCCTCGAACAGTGCCTCCCTGCAGCCAGGGCGTGGAGATGGGCATGGATAGGGATAGAAATGGCATACTAAGTGAGACACATGCACGAAGCACATCCCTGGATGTCTTTTGAGTCGACTCAAAAGTCACCTCTTCTGCAGCATCTCCTCAAACAATGCTTCCATAAAAAAGCATGGGTATGGTTGTGCATACGCACGTATGTGAGCAACTCTCTGCACATGTTCATGTGCACGTGAATGCACCCACACACCTGTTTCAATTTGCATACATTCACATACCGGTACAACTGTTGAATGAACACGCTGTGTAGCTCCCACTTCCTCTGTGCGTGGAGCGAATTCTGTAAATGTGTATGTCCATGCACTCAGATCTGCATCAACCAGCACATACCTGTACAGCTGTTGAATGAACACGCTGTGTAGCTCCCTCTTCACGTGGTTAACCTGGGAAAATGATCATGAGGCAAGGCAGGTCAGGACAGGACAGGACGAGTTCAGTGCAAGCGGGGGAGGAGGATGCCACTGGTCATAAACTCCAAGCCACTGTACTTCATCCACAGTGGCTGTTGAACAAAAACAAGCCACTGTGGTTCATCCAAGACAAGAGGGACAGAAACAAGCTGTTGAATGGTGTAGCTGTGGAATGATCACGCCATGTAGCTGTTCTTCCTCACAAAGTCGACCTCACGCTATGTAGTTGTACAATTTGTACACTTTGAGAAGCACACCCCTCTCTCTTCCACTCCCTCCTCATCCCACATCCTCCCAGCAACAAGCACGCAAGCATGCAAGCAGCACCCAGCATCCATCCTTCCACCCACCCACCCTACCAACCCAACCCCCCAAGCGCACCAGGAAGTGCATGGTTGCTTTGGGCACGGCGTCTTGGATGTTCTTCCTCACAACGTCGTAGTACGACTTAGGAGCCGGCGGGTCACCGCTATTCCATACCCCCTCCGCAACAAGCAGGCATGCAGCACTCTCACCCACCCTACCACCCACCACCCCACCCACCAGAAAGTGCATGATCGCCTTTGGCACGGCGTCTTGGATGTTCTTCCTCACAATGTTGTAGTACGACTTAGGAGCCGGCGGGTCACCGCTATTCCATACCCCCTCCGCAACAAGCAGGCATGCAGCACTCTCACCCACCCTACCACCCACCACCCCACCCACCAGAAAGTGCATGATCGCCTTTGGCACGGCGTCTTGGATGTTCTTCCTCACAATGTCGTAGTACGACTTGAGCAGCAGCCGCGTTACACCTATCTCAACCCCTTCCTCTGCTGACCGGTGCTCGCTCGCTCTCAGCACAGTGGGGGGCTGTGAGGGGGGACAGGGGGAGAGGGGGGAGAGGAGCGAGGGGTGAGAGGGGAGAGAGGGGAGAGAGGGGAGAAATGGGATATAAGGGAGAGAAAATACGAGATGAAGGGAAGGAGAGAACTGCAGCAAGTCACCCCTGTCTGTCTGTCTCCGCCGCCTCCTCTGCCGACCGCTGCTCACTCATGCGCAGCACAGTGGGGGGCGGAGCGGAAACACAGTAGAGCAGGGAGCGAAAGGTGAAGAGGGAAGAAGAAAGAAGAAACCGATAGTCACCCCTGCCTCCACCGCCTCCTCTGCCGACCGCTGCTCCCTCGCCCGCAGCACAGTGGAGGCTGGGAGGGGGGTGGAGGGAGGGAGGGAGAGGGGGAACAGTAGAGCAGGGAGCGAAAGGTGAAGTGGGAAAGGTGAAAAGACAACCCTCCTCCCCACTTTCACCCCCTCCTCCTCTTCTGCCCGCTGCTCGCTCGCCCCAAGGACTGTGGGGGGGGGCTGAGAACAGAAAAGGACGCGCGGGGGGCAAGACTAAGAGGATGGGGGGAAAGGAAAGGTGAAGCAGAAGGAAAAACCCGAGGACGGAATAGAGGCTAGGAGGAGGCAGTAAGGCCTACGGAATAGTGGCAGGAGGAAGCAAGGGAGCGGGGTCACGGGTCAGGGAGAGAGGGGGGGAAGGGACCGAGGGACAGCTGGCTGTGATGGCTGCAGCGACTGGCACAGGAAGCAAGACAGAGAGGTACGGACACAATGACACAATGAGTAGACTCAAAAGCCATCTGTAATAAGCCGATTTTTGAGTCGACTCAAAAATCGACTTATTACACACTGCAGCGACTCGCACGCACAGGAAGCAAGGCAAAGAGGTACAGACACAATGCAGCACAGGACCAAGCACGTGAGAACCAAGCAAGCCAGAGGCAGAATCAGTTCCGTTCCGTTCCTCCCCCCCCCCAGAGCCACCGGGATAGGACCCTACAGGGGGCAGGGAGACGCCCAGCTGCGACTGCTGCAGCCACTCCCACAAAAAGCAAGACCAAAGAACAGACACAATGCGCAGGACCAAACAAGACACAATCCGTTCCTCCCCCCCCCCAGAGCCACCGGGATAGGACCCTACAGGGGGCAGGGAGACGCCCAGCTGCGACTGCTGCAGCCACTCCCACTCGTCCATCGATGCTCGAGCCGCTGCTCGTGCCGACCGAGAGAGCGGTGACTGCCAAGGGATAGGTGATGACATAGATGATGTTGCATAGGGTAACCCCAACCCCAAGCGCCCACTGTAACTGAATCCCTCCTCCTGCCAGCTGCTGCGCCTCCCCCTACTGCTCTGCATCTGCCTCTCTCTCTGCCAAATCATGCCACCGTGCTGTCTGCTCCCTGTAGCTTCGCCATCTGTCGTCCAAGGATTGGCTACTGCATCTTCTTGCCACCGCTGCTGATGGTGCTGCTGTTGCTGCTGCTGGTGTTGATGCTGGTCCTGGTGTTGCTTATGACTGTGCTCGTCTTGGAAGTGTTGTGTATCACGATGCTCGTTGTCTTGCTGACAATGTGTGGAGTCTATACACTGTGGGGAACGAACAGGAGCCGCAGCACTTGGTGCTTCCTGCAGCTTAGGATCATCGCCACTCGCACATATCCTGTCGCTCTCTTCCGCGTGGAAATTCCGAGAATTCTCCATCAGTCGTGCACCTCCACCCTCACCACCCTCCAGTCTCGCTCTTGCCTCTGCTGCCATACCATCATCAACCGCACTGGACCCCTCAGCTCCCCCAGCAGCATTCCCACCTGCTTCCCTCCTCGTATCAACAACACCAGCAGCAGGAGCAGCAGAAGGGGCACTACCCTCCACGCCCTCAACCCCCTCCATCTCTCTGCCTAACACCCTTCCACGTTGCTGCACTTGCTGCTGCTCCTCCTGCTCTGAGACCTGCTCTGCTGCTGGTTCCAGCACTTGGAAAACAACGGCACTGTCAGAAGCGCATGCTGCCTCCCCTCCCCCTCTCCTCTCCACCAGCTCATGCTGCTGCTGCACTTGCACTTGCATCTGCACCTGCCCTTGCTGCTGCTGACCGTGCACTCTCAACCGCTCCTCCCCACCCCCCCTCCCCTCTCTCACCCCCTCCCCAGACGGCAGCGCCTGCAACCCACCCTCGTGTGGTAGAGCACTGGATCGACCCGTATCAGCACCGCCAGCCCTATATCTTTTGGCAACAGCCATGCCTCTGTTGGGTAGGGCCATGGCGTCAACCATCCCTCTGACGTCCGGGTCCAAGGGAGTGTGCAGGTGCACGTCGCCCCCTGCTACCATCGAGTGCAGCAGCAGCCGAGCACCCATCACTGCCATCCCAACAAACCCTTGCCGCTGCCGCCGCCACCACCGCTGCTGCTGCCGCTGCTGCCTCTGCTGCTGCTGCTCCTCCACCTGCTGCTGTGCCCGCAACAGCTGCTGCTGCTCTGGCTGCTTAATCTGCTCCAGTTGCTGCTTCGCCTGCCCTTCTTGAAAAACCGCTCCTTTAACAGGAACGAGAGACCCAGCTCCAGCCACCTGTGCTGTTGCTGGAGCCGAAGGGACCACAGCTCCAGCCAAGCTGCGTGTTGTTGTTGCAGTTGCCTTGGTTCTCCTGCCCAGTATGCCTCTGCTGCTGCGTGTCCCACTCCTGCCCCTCCTCCCCTCCCGCACACCACCGCTCTGCCCACAAACAGGCACAGAGCTACCTTTGAGGCTTGGATTTACCTTGATATGGTTGGAAAACAAGTTTCTCTTGGAAACATGAGACCTAGGAGACCTATAGACATTCCCCGGTCCTGACGTACCCCAAAGAAATCTACCCCAACCAGGAGAGAGAGGAACAGAAACAGGAAGCGTTAAGGGAGGCGGGTGAAAGGAAACTAGCTAGCTTACCTCTCGGAGCAGGATGGTGAGTGCTGGCTCTTTATCCCCAGCACCACCAGCGCTGGCAGATATGGGCTCTGGTGCAGCCAGGGGGAAGGGAGTCAAGGCTGTGGCAGTGGCGTGTGTTCCTCGATTCTTCTCCTGACCCCCGAAGATGGACGAAATTCCCCACGAGGAGGCTGCAGGGGAAGAAGAACAGGAGGTGAGACAAATAGGTTTGGGAGCTGCGAGGGGGAAGGGAGTCAAGGCCGTGGCAGTGGCGTGTGTTCCTCGATTCTTCTCCTGACCCCCGAAGATGGACGAAATTCCCCACGAGGATGCTGCAGGGGAAGAAGAACAGGAGGTTGTTAGACTATTCTCCCTTCATTCTATTAGCCTACATCGTTTCATTGTCTTAGGAACTAATAAGCACCCCACTAGGGTGTATACACCCAAGTTGGGGGTTGGGTTCCCAACCTTGTTGGGTTCCCAAATTGGTTGGGCTCCCAATTATTGGAACCCCCAATAATCCCAACCAAGATTATTGGACCCACCAATAATCTTGGCTAGGATTATTGGACCCCCAATAAGTTGGCCAACTCAACTTATTGGGGTCACCAATAATCGTGGTCACCTCCCAACCAAAACCCCCCCCCCTCCCTCCTACTCCTCACCTATGTATACCCACTCCTTTCCTAATACAATCATCACTTCAGATTCTCACAGAGGTGAGACAAATAGGTTTGGGAGCTGCGAGGGGGAAGGGAGTCAAGGCCGTGGCAGTGGCGTGTGTTCCTCGATTCTTCTCCTGACCCCCGAAGATGGACGAAATTCCCCACGAGGAGGCTGCAGGGGAAGAAGGGTATGCAGGCAAACATAGGGGAATGCGCGATCGAAAGTGCAGGCACGCTAGCCCAGCACCACCAGCGTTGCTAGATATGGGCTTCGGTGCCACGAGGGGGAAGGGAGTCAGAGCCGTGGCTTTGGCGTGTGTTCCTCAATTTTTGAGTCGACTCATAAGGGGGAAGGGAGTCAGATCTGTGGCAGCAGAGACAGTTCCTCGATTTTTTCCCATTGCCTCTGAAGATGAATAAGAGGCCCGATAAGAAGCTGCAGGGGAAGAAGAAGAGTGAAACGAAGCTGCAGCGAGTGAAACGGAGTGAGACATTGTCGATTTCTCAGAGACGGCTTCTCGATGCTTCTCCTAACCCCCAAAGTTGGATGGCTCCTGGAATGCCCCAGGAGGAGGCTGCAGCAGGGGGAATACACACAGGGAGGAGGAAGTAGGGAGGACAAAGAGAGGAAGTAGGGAGGAAGGAGGGAGGAAGGAGGGAGGAAGGAGAGAGGAAGTAGGGAGGAAGTAGGGAGGAAGTAGGGAGGAAGGAGGGAGGAACGAGGGAGGAAGGAGAGAGGAAGTAGGGAGGAAGGAGGGCAGAAGTAGGGAGGAAGTAGGGAGGAAGTAGGGAGGAAGGAGGGAGGAAGTAGGGAGGAAGGAGGGAGGAAGTAGGGAGGACAAAGGGAGGAAGTAGGGAGGAAGTAGGGAGGAAGTAGGGAGGAAGTAGGGAGGAAGTAGGGAGGAAGTAGGGAGGAAGTAGGGAGGAAGTAGGGAGGAAGTAGGGAGGAAGTAGGGAGGAACGAGGGAGGAAGTAGGGAGGAAGTAAAGAGGAAGTAGGGAGGAAGTAGGGAGGAAGTAGGGAGGAAGGAGGGAGGAAGGAGGGAGGAAGTAGGGAGGAAGGAGAGAGGAAGTAGGGAGGAAGGAGGGAGGAAGTAGGGAGGAAGGAGGGAGGAAGTAGAGAGGAAGTAGGGAGGAAGTAGGGAGGAAGTAGGGAGGAAGTAGGGAGGAAGGAGGGAGGAAGGAGGGAGGAAGGAGGGAGGAAGGAGGGAGGAAGTAGGGAGGAAGTAGGGAGGAAGTAGGGAGGAAGTAGGGGGGAAGTAGGGAGGAAGTAGGGAGGAAGTAGGGAGGAAGGAGGGAGGAAGGAGGGAGGAAGTAGGGAGGAAGTAGGAAGGAAGGAGGGAGGAAGGAGGGAGGAAGGAGAGAGGAAGTAGGGAGGAAGGAGGGAGGAAGTAGGGAGGAAGTAGGGAGGAAGTAGGGAGGAAGTAGGGAAGAAGTAGGGGGGAAGTAGGGAGGAAGTAGGGAGGAAGTAGGAAGGAAGGAGGGAGGAAGTACGGAGGAAGTACGGAGGAAGTTGGGAGGAAGTAGGGAGGAAGTAGGGAGGAAGTAAAGCGAAAAGGCTCAGCCAGCGGGAGCCCCAGGAGGATCGTGAAAGGAGGAGGATAGAAGAGAGGACGTAAGCAATGTCACCTGCTGGCTTCGTTGCATCCACGGCGCCATTGCCAGCGGTCGCAAGCAAGTGCAAAGCTGCTGCATCTCACCTTGCTTGTCTGCCGCTAGTCCATTAGCCGTGGCTGCCTGCTTGCCTCCCTGCAAGGACACGAGTGGGAAGGGCATGGGGGAAAGGGACCAGAGTGTGGGAAAGGGACCAGAGTGTGATGCTCCTACCCAGAGTTAAGACGGTGGAAAGTGGAAAGTGAAAAGTGGAAGCGGACCAGAGTGTAGGTTAAGACGGTGAAAGGGAGAAAAAGAAGTGGCATCGGCAGCGTGATGCTCCTACCCACAGACCAACTGAACATCTCCTGACAGCAGTGACAGTGGCAGTGGCAGTGGCAGCAGCAGTGGCAGCAGCAGTGGCAGCAGCAGTGGCAGCAGCAGTGGCAGCAGCAGTGGCAGCAGCAGTGGCAGCAGCAGTGGCAGCAGCAGTGGCAGCAGCAGTGGCAGCAGTTGCGACAGTGGTAGATCAACTGCTGCCCAACTGATCACCTCCTAGCAGCAGTGACGGTGACAGCAGCTGTGGCTGCAGCGGCAGCAGTGACAGAAACCAGCAGCAGTGAGAGTGCCAGAGCAGAAACGGCAGCAGCCACAACCCAATTGCTGCGGACAGATTCAAAAAGCAGTGGTGCACACCACTCTGGTGCGGCTGCGTTTTGTCAAATGGGCAAAACAGGAAGAAAGAAAAAAAGAACAACCACACTACAACAATACCACATACCTGCTGCTGCTGTTGTGATTCTTGCCCCCCGCCCTCCTTCCTCGCCAGCAGCATTCTCTGCTTCGCAGCTGCTGCCACCGATGCTACTGCTGCTGTGGACGACGACCCCCCTCCTGCTGCTCCTCCGCCCCCTGCTGCCAGAGCAGCAACAGAAGCACCAGTTGCTCCCTGGCCTGCCGCCTCATTATCCTTGCCTTCCTGCAGTAAAGGCACGCGGTGTGGAAGTTTTAACAATGTTATTAAAAGGAGGTCTGAGAGGGTTTCAACAGCACCAGAAGCACCCGTCCCTGCTGCTCCCTGGCCTGCCGCCTCTGCAGGGAAGCGTTGTGGCAGAGTGTGACACAGTGAGGCATGGGAGCAATAACAGTGTGATTAAGACTGAAGCCACCCCCTGCTGCTGCTGCTGTTGCTGCTACCAGTGAAGCAGTAGAAGCACCAGCCCCTCGGGCTCCCTGGCCTCCCACCTCACTGCCCATGCCTTCCTTCCGGCAGATATGGGCGTGAGAGGATGTGATACAATGAGGCCTGAGGTTTCAAAGACCCCCCCTCCTGCTGCTTTCACTGCTGTCACATCAGAGAAGCACCTGCCAGCCGCTCTTGGCCTTGGGCCCCTGGCCTCCCACCTCACTGTCTCTGCCTTCCGGCAGGCAGGCGAGCGAAAGGACGTTGCAGGCAGGGAAGCGAGAGGACGTAACACAGTGAGGCACAAAAAAAAAGGCAAAATGTGGATGTAGACCTTGCCTCCCCCCTGCTGCCGCTGCTACTGCTGCTGTCAGGCAGCACTCCCAACCATCAGCCCATCCTGCTTTCTGCCCCCCCATCTGTCCTTGCCTTCCTTGTCAGACACATGAAGAACGTCGGGGGGATGGATGGGAGGTTGCAGCAGCAGAGGGCATTCACGAGGAGGAGCCCCTCGCAGCGCCACTGGGCATTCACGAGGAGGAGCCCCTTGCAGCGCCATTGGGCATTCACGAGGAGGAGCCCCTTCATGCTGCCCCAGCCTGCAGCCTGCCTACATTTCGACTCACCCTCTTTTGCTGCAGGATGATTTCAACAGCTTTGCTGCCACCAATGAAGCTGTAATGGGCATATTTCCCAACCACCCCAAAACCAAAGGGTACATCTCTACTCACCCGCATCTGCTGCAGGATGATTTCAACAGCTCTGCTCCCACCAATGAAGCTGGGGTGCGACGTGTTGATGTAGTCCATCTGACATACAGGGGAATAGGGACGCGGAGGGGGAATAGGGATGGGGAAGGAGGGGGGGGCGGGGGGCGGGTAAAGACAAAAGCTCTGCTCCCACCAATGAAGCTGGGGTGCGGCGTGTTGATGTAGTCCATCTGACACAGGGGGGAATACGGAGCAGGGGGCAATAAGGAGGAACGGCGGGGGGTGGGTGGGTAGGGAAGAGGGGAGGGAGTAAAAAATAAGCTCTGCTGCCCCCAATGACGCTGGGATGCGATGTGTTGATGTAGCCCATCTGACACAGGGGGGATAAGGAGGAAGAATGGGGAGAGCGGGGGGTGTAGGGGGGGGGGGAGAGGGGGAAGGGAAGGGGGGTAGGGTAAGACTAAAGGATCTGCTGCCACCAATGAAGCTGGGGTGCGTGCGATGTGTTGATGTAGTCCATCTGACACAGGAGGGATACGGAGGAAGAATGGGGAGAGCGTGGGGGAAGAGGGGGGAAGAGGGGGAAGGGGGGCAAAACAAAATGATGAGCTGCCAATGATGAAGCTGGGGTGCGATGTGTTGATGTAGTCCATCTGATGTTGGGGGGATAAGGACGGGGGGCGGGTGGTAAAGAGGAGAGATGGGTGGGGGGTGGGGTAAAAATTAGGAGATAAAATATAGGCTCTGGTCTGGTGCCTCCAACGAAGCTCGGATGCGATGCGATGTGTTGAAGTAATCCAACGGACAGGGGGGGGAATGAGGAGCAGAGGAAGAGCGGGGGGAAGGGCGAGGGAAGGGGGAGGGAAGAGCAGAGGAAGAGCAGAGGAAGAGCAGAGGAAGAGCAGAGGAAGAGCGGGGAAGAGCAGAGGAAGAGCAGAGGAAGAGCAGAGGAAGAGCGGGGGAAGAGCGGGGGAAGAGCGGGGGAAGAGCGGGGGAAGGGGGAGTACCAGGGAAGGGGGGTAAAACAAAAGGCTCGGGTGCCTCCAACAAAGCTCGGATGCGATGTGTTGTTGTGATCCGCCGAAAATAGGGGGAATAAGGAGCGGAGGGGCGGAGGTAAGGGCAGGGGGAATAAGAGGGGGGGGCCGGGGGGGGCAAAAAGCAGGCTCTCGAGCTAGCCTAACTGTGAGAGCCGGAGGGGGAGAGGTAAGGGGAGGGGAAATAAGGCCAGGGGGGGGGGGGAGGAGGCTCCCTTGCTAGCCTAACTGTGAGAATCGGAAGGGGTAGAGAGTGTTGGAATAGGGATGGTTGAATCGCAATTGCAACTGCTGAATCTCAATTGCAACTGATGAATCGCAATTGCAACTGATGAATCTCAATTGCAACTGATGAATCGCAATTGCAACTGATGAATCTCAATTGCAACTGATGAATCGCAATTGCAACTGATGAATCGCAATTGCAACTGATGAATCGCAATTGCAATTTGCAACTGATGAATCGCAATTGCAACTGATGAATCGCAATTGCAACTGATGAATCGCAATTGCAACTGATGAATCTCAATTGCAACTGATGAATCTCAATTGCAACTGATGAATCTCAATTGCAACTGATGAATCTCAATTGCAACTGATGAATCTCAATTGCAACTGATGAATCTCAGTTGCAACTGATGAATCTCAATTGCAACTGATGAATCTCAATTGCAACTGATGAATCTCAATTACAACTGATGAATCGCAATTGCAACTGATGAATCTCAATTGCAACTGATGAATCTCAATTGCAACTGATGAATCTCAATTGCAACTGATGAATTTCAATTGCAACTGATGAATCTCAATTGCAACTGATGAATCTCAATTGCAACTGATGAATCTCAATTGCAACTGATGAATCGCAATTGCAACTGATGAATCGCAATTGCAACTGATGAATCGCAATTGCAACTGATGAATCTCAATTGCAACTGATGAATCTCAATTGCAACTGATGAGTCTCAATTGCAACTGATGAATCTCAATTGCAACTGATGAATCTCAATTGCAACTGATGAATCTCAATTGCAACTGATGAATCTCAATTGCAACTGATGAATCTCAATTGCAACTGATGAATCTCAGTTGCAACTGATGAATCTCAATTGCAACTGATGAAACGCAATTGCAACTGATGAATCTCAATTGCAACTGATGAATCTCAATTGCAACTGATGAATCTCAATTGCAACTGATGAATTTCAATTGCAACTGATGAATCTCAATTGCAACTGATGAATCTCAATTGCAACTGATGAATCTCAATTGCAACTGATGAATCGCAATTGCAACTGATGAATCGCAATTGCAACTGATGAATCGCAATTGCAACTGATGAATCTCAATTGCAACTGATGAATCTCAATTGCAACTGATGAATCTCAGTTGCAACTGATGAATCTCAATTGCAACTGATGAATCTCAATGGCAACTGATGAATCTCAGTTGCAACTGATGAATCTCAATTGCAACTGATGAATCTCAATTGCAACTGATGAATCTCAATTGCAACTGATGAATCTCAATTGCAACTGATGAATCTCAATTGCAACTGATGAATCTCAATTGCAACTGATGAATCTCAGTTGCAACTGATGAATCTCAATTGCAACTGATGAAACGCAATTGCAACTGATGAATCTCAATTGCAACTGATGAATCTCAATTGCAACTGATGAATCTCAATTGCAACTGATGAATTTCAATTGCAACTGATGAATCTCAATTGCAACTGATGAATCTCAATTGCAACTGATGAATCTCAATTGCAACTGATGAATCGCAATTGCAACTGATGAATCGCAATTGCAACTGATGAATCGCAATTGCAACTGATGAATCTCAATTGCAACTGATGAATCTCAATTGCAACTGATGAATCTCAGTTGCAACTGATGAATCTCAATTGCAACTGATGAATCTCAATTGCAACTGATGAATCTCAATTGCAACTGATGAATCTCAATTGCAACTGATGAATCGCAATTGCAACTGATGAATCGCAATTGCAACTGATGAATCGCAATTGCAACTGATGAATCTCAATTGCAACTGATGAATCTCAATTGCAACTGATGAGTCTCAATTGCAACTGATGAATCTCAATTGCAACTGATGAATCTCAATTGCAACTGATGAATCTCAATTGCAACTGATGAATCTCAATTGCAACTGATGAATCTCAATTGCAACTGATGAATCTCAGTTGCAACTGATGAATCTCAATTGCAACTGATGAAACGCAATTGCAACTGATGAATCTCAATTGCAACTGATGAATCTCAATTGCAACTGATGAATCTCAATTGCAACTGATGAATTTCAATTGCAACTGATGAATCTCAATTGCAACTGATGAATCTCAATTGCAACTGATGAATCTCAATTGCAACTGATGAATCGCAATTGCAACTGATGAATCGCAATTGCAACTGATGAATCGCAATTGCAACTGATGAATCTCAATTGCAACTGATGAATCTCAATTGCAACTGATGAATCTCAGTTGCAACTGATGAATCTCAATTGCAACTGATGAATCTCAATTGCAACTGATGAATCTCATTGCAACTGATGAATCTCAATTGCAACTGATGAATCTCAATTGCAACTGATGAATCTCAATTGCAACTGATGAATCTCAATTGCAACTGATGAATCTCAATTGCAACTGATGAATCTCAATTGCAACTGATGAATCTCAGTTGCAACTGATGAATCTCAATTGCAACTGATGAAACGCAATTGCAACTGATGAATCTCAATTGCAACTGATGAATCTCAATTGCAACTGATGAATCTCAATTGCAACTGATGAATTTCAATTGCAACTGATGAATCTCAATTGCAACTGATGAATCTCAATTGCAACTGATGAATCTCAATTGCAACTGATGAATCGCAATTGCAACTGATGAATCGCAATTGCAACTGATGAATCGCAATTGCAACTGATGAATCTCAATTGCAACTGATGAATCTCAATTGCAACTGATGAATCTCAATTGCAACTGATGAATCTCATTGCAACTGATGAATCTCAATTGCAACTGATGAATCTCAATTGCAACTGATGAATCTCAGTTGCAACTGATGAATCTCAATTGCAACTGATGAATCTCAATTGCAACTGATGAATCTCAATTGCAACTGATGAATCTCAATTGCAACTGATGAATCTCAATTGCAACTGATGAATCTCAATTGCAACTGATGAATCTCAGTTGCAACTGATGAATCTCAATTGCAACTGATGAAACGCAATTGCAACTGATGAATCTCAATTGCAACTGATGAATCTCAATTGCAACTGATGAATCTCAATTGCAACTGATGAATTTCAATTGCAACTGATGAATCTCAATTGCAACTGATGAATCTCAATTGCAACTGATGAATCTCAATTGCAACTGATGAATCGCAATTGCAACTGATGAATCGCAATTGCAACTGATGAATCGCAATTGCAACTGATGAATCTCAATTGCAACTGATGAATCTCAATTGCAACTGATGAATCTCAGTTGCAACTGATGAATCTCAATTGCAACTGATGAATCTCAATTGCAACTGATGAATCTCAATTGCAACTGATGAATCTCAATTGCAACTGATGAATCGCAATTGCAACTGATGAATCGCAATTGCAACTGATGAATCGCAATTGCAACTGATGAATCTCAATTGCAACTGATGAATCTCAATTGCAACTGATGAGTCTCAATTGCAACTGATGAATCTCAATTGCAACTGATGAATCTCAATTGCAACTGATGAATCTCAATTGCAACTGATGAATCTCAATTGCAACTGATGAATCTCAATTGCAACTGATGAATCTCAGTTGCAACTGATGAATCTCAATTGCAACTGATGAAACGCAATTGCAACTGATGAATCTCAATTGCAACTGATGAATCTCAATTGCAACTGATGAATCTCAATTGCAACTGATGAATTTCAATTGCAACTGATGAATCTCAATTGCAACTGATGAATCTCAATTGCAACTGATGAATCTCAATTGCAACTGATGAATCGCAATTGCAACTGATGAATCGCAATTGCAACTGATGAATCGCAATTGCAACTGATGAATCTCAATTGCAACTGATGAATCTCAATTGCAACTGATGAATCTCAGTTGCAACTGATGAATCTCAATTGCAACTGATGAATCTCAATTGCAACTGATGAATCTCAGTTGCAACTGATGAATCTCAATTGCAACTGATGAATCTCAATTGCAACTGATGAATCTCAATTGCAACTGATGAATCTCAATTGCAACTGATGAATCTCAATTGCAACTGATGAATCTCAATTGCAACTGATGAATCTCAGTTGCAACTGATGAATCTCAATTGCAACTGATGAAACGCAATTGCAACTGATGAATCTCAATTGCAACTGATGAATCTCAATTGCAACTGATGAATCTCAATTGCAACTGATGAATTTCAATTGCAACTGATGAATCTCAATTGCAACTGATGAATCTCAATTGCAACTGATGAATCTCAATTGCAACTGATGAATCGCAATTGCAACTGATGAATCGCAATTGCAACTGATGAATCGCAATTGCAACTGATGAATCTCAATTGCAACTGATGAATCTCAATTGCAACTGATGAATCTCAGTTGCAACTGATGAATCTCAATTGCAACTGATGAATCTCAATTGCAACTGATGAATCTCAGTTGCAACTGATGAATCTCAATTGCAACTGATGAATCTCAATTGCAACTGATGAATCTCAATTGCAACTGATGAATCTCAGTTGCAACTGATGAATCTCAATTGCACCTGATGAATCTCAATTGCACCTGATGAATCTCAATTGCAACTGATGAATCTCAATTGCAACTGATGAATCTCAATTGCAACTGATGAATCTCAACTCAATTGCACCTGATGAATCGCAATTGCAACTGATGAATCTCGAAAGCAACCACTACTTCAAACAGATGACAGGCTCGGCTCCAACCCGATACCCCATACCTCCATATCTATCCCCATACCTCCATATCTATCCCCGCATATCTCCATATCTATCCCCCCATAACTCCACGCCTATCCCCCCATAACCCGCATGCCTATCGCCATACCTCCATGTCTATTAAGTGTCGGATCACGGTCTCTGCAGGGTTCAGCCCCTCCCTTAGGAAGCTCCCCACCGTCTTCTGAGTCGACTCATGAGTCACCCCCACACCTCCATGCCTGCCCCCCCACACCCCCATGTCCATCCCCCCACACGGCCATACCTCCATGTCTATGAAGTGTCAGATCACGGTCTCTGCAGGGTTCAGCCCCTTCCTTAGGAAGCTCCCCACTGTCTTCTGAGTCGACTCATGAGTCACCCCCACACCTCCATGCCTGTCCGCCCACACCCCCATGTCCATCCCCCCACACGGTCATACCTCCATGTCTATGAAGTGTCGGATCATAGTCTCTGCAGGGTTCAGCCCCTCTCTGAGGAAGTGACTTTTGAGTCGACTCAGAAGACATCCCCCCACACGGTCATACCTCCATGTCAATAAGGTGTCGGATCATCGTCTCTGCTGGGTTCAGCCCCTCCCTGAGGAAGCTCCCCACCGTCTCTTGAGTCGACTCAGACGTCATCCCCTCACATCCCCATGTCCATCCCCCCACACGGCCATACCTCCATGTCAATAAGGTGTCGGATCATCGTCTCTGCAGGGTTGAGCCCCTCTCTGAGGAAGCTCCCCACCGTCTCTTCCACCTTGCGCCTCAGCACAGGGAACCGAGCCAGCTGATACGACTCACAGCGGTGGGCAATCTAGGAGGAACAGGGAGGGGAGGCAGGGGGAGGGGGTGGGGGAGGTTGCGGTGGGGGGAAGGAAGGCCTATTCTATTAAGCCCCTGTCTGAGGAAGCTACCCACCGGGCCACCGTCTCTTCCACCTTGCGCCTCAGCACAGGGAACCGAGCCAGCTGATACGACTCACAGCGATGAGCAATCTGTGAGGCACAAAATGGGGAAGAGAGGAAGGGAGTGGGGAGGGGGGGGAGGAGGGGGGGGTGGGGGGGGAGGGGAGTCTATTGAGCTCCTCTGAGGAAGCTCCCCATCGTCTCTTCCACCTTGCGCCTCAGAACAGGGAACTGGGCCAGCTGATACGACTCACAGCAGTGGTGGGCAATCTGTAAGGAACAAGGGCGGGGGAAGGGAAGGAGGAGAGTAGGGAAAGGGGGGATAGTGGGAAAGAGGGACATACTAAGCCCCTCCCTGAGGACGCCCCCCACCGTCTCTTCCACCTTGCGCCTCAGCACAGGGAACCGAGCCAGCTGATACGACTCACAGCAGTGGGCAATCTATAGCACACAGGGCAGAGAGGAAAGGGGAGGGAAGGGGGGAGGAAACGGGAGAGGGGGGGGGTGGGTGGGGAAGAGGGGTGGAGAACTGGATAGAGCCATGGGCCACAGCCGTGGTATTCTTCTGACTGAACAAGCTCGTCAGAGACAAATCTGGCACGCTTAAGTAGAGTAAAGGAGGGGCATAATAATACATGCGCACGAGAACGAGCTCACGTAACCAACCCCATCAGATCAGACACAAGACAAACCTCACCTTAACGAGCCTCACCTTAACGAGCCTCACCTTAACGAGCCTCACCTTAACGAGCCTCACCTTAACGAGGCTCACCTTAACGAGGCTCACCTTAACGAGCCTCACCTTAACGAGGCTCACCTTAACGAGCCTCACCTTAACGAGGCTCACCTTAACGAGCCTCACCTTAACGAGGCTCACCTTAACGAGCTCGTCATAGACGAATCGGGCGCACTGAAGCGAGGGGTCCAGCAGACGCGATATCTGCCGCCGCACCAACACCTCAAAGGGCACCTGGATGGGGGAGGAGAGAGGGAAGGGGCAGCTGAGTCGAAGGTCAGTGCCGCACCAATTTCTCAAGTGGCACCTGCATGCATAGGGCGGCGGAGAGAGGCAAGGGTCAGTGGTTCGAAGCCGCCTCAAAAGATGAAGCGAGGGGTCCAGCACACGCGATATCTGCCGCCGCACCAACACCTCAAAGGGCACCTGGGGGGGGGAGGAGGGGTGGGGAGAGGAAGAGATATGGGGAAGGAAGGGGCAGAGGACTGAAGGGGAAGCTTTGGAGTCTTGAAGGTCCATGCCGCACAAACAACAACTCACATCCGCCCCTTTAAAGGCATGGGACTCACGTCCGCCCTTTAGAGGCATGGGACTCACATCCGGCACAACGAGCGCGTTCTTGGTTCCCGCAGCGTACTCATTGGCCGTGGCTGAGCACGTAAGCAGCATGCACATGTTTGCACTCTCTGGCGTTTTTGAGAAATCTCAAAAACACCTCACGCCTTCAGCAAGTGGGGGAATGGCACTCACATCCGGCACAAAGAGCGCGTTCTTGGTTCCCGTGGCATTCTGAATGGCCGTGCGAATGTCCTCGTCTGAGAGGTCCTCGCAGGGGTCCACCTCCTGAGAGGAGACGAGGGAGACGAGGGGCACGAAGGAAGAAGAGAACACAGGGATGTGGCAGTGCAGTCTATGATAAAGCATTCTATGATATCACACAAAGCATTCGCCATGCCACACAACAGTCAGCAGATAATCATATTTTTGAGGCGCCTCAAAAACAGACTCCTCACAATCATATCAACGCACTTGTCGAATATGCTCTGGAAGATGTAGTGAATCCGAGCTCAGGGTTGGCTTTAAGTCAACTCAGTACAATACACGCTTTGACAAATACATAAAAATTGCATCAACACACTCGACTCACATCAATGCACTTGTCGAAGATGTTCTGGAAGATACAGTGAATGCAAGCCCCCCTGCGGGCATGCCCTTCGGTTTGACTCCAAAACACGCTCGACAAATACCTATCTCACATCACCCACCAACCCACTCCACTAACATCAATGCACTGCATTTGACGATATTGTTTTGAAAGATGGAGTGAATGCGAGCCCCTCCTGTGCTTTGGCTTGACCCACAAGACCCTCAACAAACACCTAACTCACATCAACACAATAAACTCACATCAATACATTTGACGAAGATGTTTTGAAAGATGTAGTGAATGCGGGCCCCTCCCGCCAGCTCTGCTGTTGACATGCCTTGGTTCTTGCCATCCACTATAGTCACGAATGCTGCTCAGGGCAAGAAGATGCAAGGGGAATAACTGCCTTTGAGCCGCCTGCCCAACAAGCTCAGCTGTCAACGTGCCTTGGTTCTTGCCATCCACTATAGTCACAAATGTTGCTCATGCGTGATACGATCAGAAATGCACAGTGCAAAGTGGAAAGCGCTTTGAGGCGCATCATAACCAGCTCTGCTGACAGCATACCTTGGTTCCTGCAGTTGACTGTAGTCACACTTGCTGCTTATCCGTGATGCAGTGCAAAATAAAGTATATATAGATATATGTGTAAATATATATTATTCTTCAGGAAAAAAGCTCAAGACAAGAGCACATTGAGAGAGTCCTATGCCAAATTATCGAGCAAAGCATATGCTACAGTAGCACGAGCACACACAAGCCACTCACACTGAGAGTACTTGGTCAGAATGTTAAGCAGCAGCACTCCCATTGTCGCCTGACAGCCAAACAAAAAAACAAACAAACAAAGGCAGGAGGCGAAGGGGTCATAGTTGGCCACAGAGCTACCCTTTTCTGTGTTTTGCAAGGAGAACAAAACGAAACAACTTCCCACCTTCGTGCTACCATAACTAAACAAAACAACTTCCCATTCTGTGTGTTACCCCATGGCCCATGCTGCCCATCCCTGAGCTATACAAAGGCTCCTTGTGCTCAATCTCCGTCCCTAACCATAAAAGCCCCAGCTGGTGAGTGAGAGGGTGCTAGCACACCTACTCACTGTGCTAGCACCCTTTCCTCCAACCATACACACTCACTCGCCCTGCTGCCTCCCCACAGCTCACAGTTCCTTCTGCAGCACCCGCCCGTCACTGTCTGTAAATTGATGCAACCCTTTACCCTTCTCCCCTTCCTTCCTCCCTTCCCTCCAACCCACATCATTCAACGTATGCAGGCCTCTCACCCACCTTGCAGCCAAACTCACCCGCTCTGCCGCCTCCCCATGGCTCACTAGCTGATTTTTGAGTCGACTAAAAAATCACCAACGTATGCAGGCCTCTCACTCACCTTGCAGCCAAACTCACCCGCTCTGCAACCTCCCCATAGCTCACTAGCTCCTTCTTCTGCACAACCCCCATCTGCGTGCGCCACAGCGCCTTCAAGCAACCCCTTACCCTCCATTCCTCTGACCCATACTTTTAACTTTGAAACCTCCCTCTGCGACGAACTCACCCTCTCTGCTGCCTCCCCGTAGCCCACGAGCTCCTTCTGCACAGCCACCATCTGTGCGTTGAAGCAACCCTTCGCCCGTTCCCTACCCACAGCTCACCCTGCTCTGCCACAACCTAAGTTGGCACCTTACGTTTACGTTGGTTTACGTTTACGGTAGTTTACGTAGTAAAGTTACGTTTACGTACGTGGGCCCAAAAGGGCTTTACGTTTACGGTCTGTTAGAAAGTTTTTCACCCTGCCCGAATTTTTTTACACCTCGTGTCAGATCTCAGGGGCAGAATTTGACACGAGGTTCCCTGACACGCGCTTTTGACACTTGGCAGGTAGGAACGCGCCCTCATTCCAGTGAACATTCCAATTTCCAACTCGTCGCAAGTGTGGCGAAGCTCCAACTCGTCAGGAAGCAAGTTTCGCAACGCACCCCGCGGAGCTTCCTATGAACGGCATCTGACATCCTCGTCTCCCCAAATACCAACAGATCTCCCCATCTTCGGAAACCTAGCACGACTTAGTACCTAAGCCAATCCACATAGCCTAGTCGAAGTAGATTATACCCAATCCCCCTCCCCCCCGCCTGCCGTGGATCCAGCGCCCACGTCCCTTGGTATTCCTGGAGCGAAATCACTATTACTCTCTCACGCTTGACGATTTTGCTCCTAATCCGCCACCTCAGAGTTTGGGACATCCGTCGCTGGACACGACAGTGCTACCGATTGGTAGCTTGGCGTATCGGCGGCTAAACATCTCCGCGCTTGCGGAATCCTTCTAGACCCAGTCCCGGGAAATACACCACGTCGCAACCGCCTTTCACACCTAATACGGGCTGCGTAGCTTCCAATGTCGCGATTTTTTTTTCAGCGTTTTTTTTAGCCCTGCCCGTACGACTTTACGTAAACTTACGCGTAAACAAATGTAAACGTAAACGTACACGTAACTGTACGTTTACGCGACCGGTATGGGCGTAAAGTGCCAACTTAGGCCACAACAAACACTTCCCATAGCTCTCACCCTCTCCGCTGCCTCCCCGTAGCTGACAAGCTCCTTCTGCACCGCGACCATCTGTGCGTTGATGCGCGCCTTAAGGTCTGGCAGCAGCAGGCGGATGTGCTGCACAAGAATCTGAGGGGAAAGGAGAAGGGAGAGAAGAAAGGGGAGATAAAGGGAGTGTGATGAGGCACATTAGCCGCAGGGTGTGCCGGCGGACCAGAGGGAGAGAAGGGGTGCACACAGGTCTGGCAGACTGGCAGCAGCAGGCGGATGTGCTGGAAGAGAATATGGGAGGAGCCACACAGAGGGAGAAGCAACAGGAGGAGGGAGGGGAAATGAGTACTCCAAGACAGCCCACAGTAGCAAGCAGATGTGATGGCGGCTTGGTGGAATAGAAGGGGAAATGAGTATTCCAAGGCGCAACAGCAGCAAGCAGGTGTGGTGCACGTGAATCCGCACACAGAGACAAGTTTTGAGGCGCCTCAAAACTAGAATCCGCACGCAGAGACACAGAGGGACTGACAATGGGAGGAAACACGTGGTTTCGTGGAGCCTGGAGCGAGCAATGTCGAGCTGATGGATCCAATCCACATTGATCCGCCACGCTGTGGTAGACAAGATTGACACAGCATGCACCAACCCAAACACACATGCAGGCTTGCACAGATCCCACGCACGCAAGCACCCACTCCCTGATTGTTGTAAGCGGAAGACTCACCGAGTTGAGCTTCTTGGCGAGCTGAGGAATCCCACACCGATCCGCCAAGCTGTGGTAGACCTGCAGTGACACAGACATGCACACACAGACGTGCAGAGAAATAAAGAAACGCCACCAGAGTCACAGGGGGGCTTTACTTGGAGGAAAAAATAAACCAATCACAGACGGCTTAAAACGTGACCTCGCAGAAACTCGATTATTATAAACCAAACAGAGCCAGAACACAGACGGCTCGTGCATGACAATCTTAGCTCTGGGAAACTCGCCTCAGCTTCAAGATGTGTCCTCTTGAACTCACTGGTCTGCAGTGGATAAAAGCATCCATTATCCATATATGCGAGTGCATATTTAACTCACCGGCCTTGTTCTCTCTTTTAGCACTTGTGAACTCACCGGCCTGCTTCGGAAGAAAGCCTCTTCATATGTGAGTGCGTCCTTGACACTCTTCTTTGCATTGATGTCCTACAAGGGGACAGGAGAGGCAAGGGAAAATGAGAGATACGAAGGTGCGACGAGGTCTTCTTGGAGCGAACGAACTCAAAAGTCAGCTCGTTATAATGTCACACGGAATCTGCTAGGGGACAGGAGAGGCAAGGGAAAATGAGAGATACGAAGGTGCGACAAGGCTGCCCATACGTAACCAACGTGCCAAAGGTTACCGAACAGCATCTCACCATGCGCAGAGGAATGTCATTCCACAGCACCTCGTATCGTATGCCTCACTGCACATACAACCCCTAACTGTGAACAGTTCATTTTTGAGGCGCCTAAAAAGTTGACCCCTGACTGTGAACAGTTTATTTTAGAGGCGCCTAAAAAATTGACCCCTGACTGTGAACAGTTTATTTTTGAGGCGCCTAAAAAATTGACCCCTGACTGTGAACAGTTTACTTTTGAGGTGCCTAAAAAATTGACCCCTGACTGTGAACAGTTTATTTTTGAGGCGCCTAAAAAATTGACCCCTGACTGTGAACAACATAACCCACTGACAACGACGCACCTCCTGGCTGCGGTTGGTTGATGACACCCACGTAGCCCAGGCACAGAGGAATGACATTCCCTAGAAGCAGTTTGTTACAGGCATCAGTACCCCGCACCTTCTGATGCACTCAACAAGTCAACCCCCCCCCCCTCCCCCCCCCACACACACAAGTCACACACACGCACCTCCTGGCTGCGGTTGATGACGCCCACGTAGCCCAGGCGCAGCGGAATGACATTCCCCAGGAGCAGGTTGCAGGCATCTGTGCCCCGATCCATGATGTCGAGCTGCAGAATCCAACAGTTAAGGAAGAGTCAAGCACAGCAGCGCAGTTTCAGAGTGGAATGTAACGAAGCGAAGTGACATGACATCCATTTCAGCCTGCACTACAAACTTAGAAGCAAGGATATAATAAGAGACATGATGCAGCACACACAACAGGAGGCAGCAGCGCACAGCAGTGATGAGTTGCGAAAAGCAGCAATCTACCCACCCACCTTTGTGATGACTCCGATTGTTCGATGCCCTGACAGGTTACAAGCAGCAGGGAGTGAAGACAGAGACACCGGGAAACGAAAGGTTAGAGTGAGACCGAGGGGCGAAATGGTTGATCATGCAAGATGGAGACAGTAGCAATCTTGCAAGACTGCGGCGTCCGAAACGGCCAGACCCGCATTTGCAGGCGTGACTGACGGCAATGCACGTCTTGTGCTTGATGCCAGCACGGCGTAAGCCGGCCGGAATTACATGGGCGGTGCACGCTAGGATTACGGCCTGCACCCTGTGTCCCTCCCCCGATGTCCCAAAAACCAATGCAGCTACCTTACAACAAGCACACCAGCACAAAGCTGACCATCAGGGACTGCCATCTGAGCCACTCGCAGGGCATCAGAGCTCGCCAGGTCCGCATTGGCGGGAGTGACTGCAAGAATGATGCACGTCTCGTGCTGGATGTAGGCCAAGATCATGGACCGCACGCGCGCCTCTATGCATGTCGGACGGCTGGTCGCCCCCCCTGCTCACACTCACACACTCACCATCAGGGTCTGCCATGCGAGCCACTTGTAAGGCGTCCGAGTTGGCCAAGTCAGCATTGGCGGGGGTCACAGCGAGGATGATGCACGTCTCGTGCTTGATGTAAGCCAGGATCATGGACCTGACCCGCGCCTCTATGTCCGACGGCTGGTCGCCCACAGGGACCTTGGTGATGCCCGGGAGGTCGACCAGGGTGATGGTGAGGACGTGCGGGGAGAAGATCTTGAGGCGAATCTGCTTCTCCGTGATGCCCTTGTTGATGCCCACCTCCCGCTCCGTCTCCAGCTGAAAAAAGAAGGGGGGTGTGAGCAATTGACATGGAGGGGGGAAGGAGAGGAGGGGAGGCAGAGGGGGAGTGATGGTGGTGGTGAGCACGTGTGGGGAGAAGATCTTGAGGTGGATCTGCTTCTCAGTAATGCCCTTGTTGATGCCCACCTCTCGCTTCTCCAGCTGAAAAAGCGGGGAAGGAGAGAGTGGCATGGGAGGGAAGGATGGAAGGAAAGAAGGAGAGGAGAGGAGAGGGAGATCAGGTTGGTGAGGATGTGGGGGAAGAAGACCTTGAGGCGAATCTGCTTCTCCGTGATGCCCTTGTTGATGCCCACCTCCCGCTCCGTCTCCAGCTGCAAAGGGGGGGGGGGTGAGGAATTGAGAGAGGTGAAGTCGAGGAAAAGCAGGAGGAGAGGGGGCAAGGGGGGATGGAGAGGGAGAGGAGGCAGAAAGGGGGCAAGGGGAAAAGGAGAGGGAGAGCAGGAGTGATGGTGGTGGTGAGGACGTGCGGGGAGAAGATCTTGAGGCGGATCTGCTTCTCCGTGATGCCCTTGTTGATGCCCACCTCCCGCTCCGTCTCCAGCTGCGAAGGGGGTCGAAATTTTAACAAGAAGGAAGAGGAGAGGAGTCCAACCCAAAGACGAACGTCAAAGCGGGAATTCTTGGCCGCAAGCTTGACTTTGCTTCTCCAATGGGCTCTTGGCCGATTTCCACTGCAGCTGAAACCATGGGTGAGCTGATGGCGCTATAGCGAGCAGCACAAACGAGGCAAACGGGACGGCAACAACGGAATTCAGGAAGGTTTCAGGAAGGTTGTAGGAAGGGGAGAAAAACCACCACCTCCTGGCTCACACTACCTGCAGGCTGCATGGTGTCGATCGCATCTCATCCGAAGCTCACGCCTTGGAGACGCCTCAGAACCCACCTGAATCTTGTCCCGAGTCGCGGGAAAATCTGTGAACCTCTTTCCCGGCAGGTGAGAAAACACCAAGCCCAAATCTTGCAAGTTGTAACGTCTGACCAACAAACCTGAATCTCGTCCCGAATCGCGGAGAAATCCGTGAATCGCTTCCCCGGCAGGTGCAGGAACTCCCCCCATTCCTCCGCCTTGCCGTCCGCGCGCTTCGGCACCTGCACCAGCTGCAGCACCAGCGGCCGACGTGTCACCACGTCGGATCCACGTGGCAGGAAGTCTTTCCCGACGAGCGACTCGAGCACGCTGGATTTCCCGCTGCTCTGGCTGCCGACAACGGCTACTTGCGGTAGGTCGATCGCGCTGGAGGATCCGAGCTGGGAAAAGATGTCCTGGAGCTTATTAACTACTGGAATGACCGAGTCGCCCAGTAGCTCGATCGTGGAAGCTTCCTCTTCCTCTACGACCTCGGGGCGCGTGTACGCCATGGCACAGGCGAGAGAAAAGAGAAGGCGGAATCAAGATGGATCTACTAGTTAAGGTCCAGCCCGGGTCTTTCGGATACTGAGGAAAAAGGCCCGATCAGCGTTAGTAACTATTGATCACGGCAAGTTACTGATGAACGGTTCAGATCCGTCGCCAGCTTGGCTCAATCGGTTCGGTTCTATTCCGCTACGAATGTGTGATCTGGACTCTAAAGGGGACGGGAGCGAATTCCGATAAGACTGTGATCCTGGGGATTGGAAAGTGCAGCGAACACGACGTGTACCAAACAACCCTCGCTTCCTAGTGCGAATCCGAAGCAAAGGAACCGTAAAGAAAACGCGACTATCCGAAACAATCAACAATCAAGTGTCCGGCAAAGGTGTGCTCCGACCTGGCGTTGGGAGAGAGACACTCGAGGATTCCTTGAGATTAAAGCACAGAAATTTTCGGGATGAGTCGACCTGGCGATGATCCGCTAACGAACTAGCCCGTTCGGAGACACGTCATTAGCAGGTCCCAAGGGAATGCAGTAGACTGGCGCGGCAGGCGAACGACAGCCTAACTAAGGCCACGGCAAGCTAACTGTGAACAGCAGACTAATCAGGCAGCAGACTAGACACCACGCTGACAGAATCTGCTAGCACTAAGCGAATTCCGTTAGTGTCTGACGCAAAAGACGGTCTGCGCTGTAACTCTCTGCTTGTGGAGGAGGAACCTAGAGATTTGTCAACGAGACAGGCCTCAATGGCATGACGGTCTGGTTTGGCTTGGCACCGCACCATTTGGTTCGGTTCGGACAAGGTCTGACTCGAGGCTTTCAAACTGCTTGGAGAAGATTTCGATTGGCTGATCATTTCCGAGCCTACATGGAGAGGAGGCGTGAGCCAGCGGCGATGAAGCTGGCGCAAGCACAGAAAGTACCATGAACACGCAATACGTCTAATTATGGGCCTCATGTTAAGGTACATGATCAATATACAACACAATCAATATGAATAAAAAAGTGATGGATCGATCCTCATGATTTTTGGAAGTACATTACCTCTTCCCAGAAGAATTCTCATCTCTTTCCACTCTTCCATGCTCCAAAGCTTGTTTGGGAAACGTGCCAGCACAAATCTTCAAAGCACAATACATTGGCTACTCAAACATTGAATTACACTTCCTGAGTAATGGTCAACTCTTCCATTAGGTCAATCATATGTGCCATTGAGGATGCGGGGTCATGCTGTCAGTGTCGTTGGGCACCAGGTGTCATCGATGCAGAATGTTTTTCTTTTGACGCTTCTCTTTTGGCTGTTGTTGAGACACACAGACATGCGACCAAGGGGGTGTGGTGGCAAGGAAAGCAGAATTTTGAACACTTTCACAAGGTTGGAAGGAACTAAAAAAAACACGGGATAGAGTGAGAGAACACCATTTTTTTGTGAAACTTGGGGTGTATTTCCAAAAGCAACAGAATGGAAATATAGTCTGCAAAAGCACTTACCCGGCTACCCCGGTTTCGAGACTGGAGAGCCTCCGTGTCAACTCTTTCCTTCCACGTGCTCTTCCTCAATTGGATTGGTCGATTGCCCACGTACTTCCCTGCTCATATCAACATGCGTGTGTGCATGCACAGGACATGTTGCACAGCACAAAAAAATAAAACAAAAAAAATCTACACGTGCAACCAACTTTACACAGCACAGACAGATGACACTATGGAAGCACAATGCCACTCTCAACACCAACAGGGATTCCATTCGTCACCTAACTCACCGTTGGTTTCATTGACCCACTGTTGACCTCCTTGCCAGCATCGGCACGGCGAAGCACAATCAAGATAGGCCTCACAAAGATTCGAGTCCATCCACCACTATTCACCTCAGTATCTCAGCACAATCAAGCACGTTGCTAAGATAGGCATAGGCCTGTCCGACTCCTTGTTAACTTCTTTGATTAACAAAACTTCCCCGTAAACCACCTTTGAAAACTATCTGACTCACGGTTAATTTCCTTGGGAGAAGCAGTACGGTCATGCACTTTGTTGGACCACTGACTGTGGTCACTCTGTTGACTTATATTGACGCCACTGGACTCACCCTTCATCTCCTTAAATCCAGCCGCGCAGTCCGTCACTTCATCACAGCTTCGCTCCATCGACCCTCCGTTGACTCCATAAACTCGTCCTTCATCTCCGAGAGTGCAACGGCACAGACCATCACTTCACCAGAGCTTTACCTCACTGAGCCACACTTACCTTCAATGACTTACATTGACCGTGCTTGTCTCACCGTTCGGCTCCTTGAGTGCAGCAGCGCAGACCATCACTTCACCAGAGCTTGACACATTGACCAACCATCGACCTGTAATAGTATTCCCCTATTAATTAGTAGCCTACATAGTTTATTAGACTTGGATAATTTTAAAGGAGCCTATCATAACTAGGGTGCAGTAACCCTTCTCTGGGAGTTGGGTTCCAACCTTGGCCATTATTGCCCCCCCAAAATTGTTGGGCCTCCCAATTATTGGAGACCCCAAAAATCCCACCGAGATTATTAATTATTGGACACCCCAGAAAACCCTAAAGCCTAGAACATGGACTCTCCCTTGACTTCTGCGGACTGCATTGACCCACCATTGACCTCACCAACTCACCGTTCATCTCTTTGAGCGCAGCAGCACAGTCCATCACTTCACCGAAGCTCACGAAGCCATACCCCTTGGTCTTGCCCGAGTTCTTGTCCCTCACCACCTATGGTGGGGGGGAGTTTCCACATGGGGAAACGGGAAGGGGAGAGGGATTGTCGGGCACGAGTATTGCAGCAGACCACTTGGTCCCTCACAAAGCCATACCCCTTGGTCTTGCCCGAATTCTTGTCCCTCACCACTTGGGGTGTAATTGGGGGGAGAGGGGGGGGAGGGAAAGTGTGAGTGACAGGCACGAGCATTGCACCTGAACCTCTCAACCCTCTCACAAAGCCATATCCCTTGGTCTTGCCCATCTTGTCCCTCACAACCTGGGGTGGTGGGGGGAGAGGAGGGAGCGAAGGGGAAGTAAGGAGATAGAGTGGCATCAGCAGTGCACCTGCGCCCTTGGTCTCACTCAGCAAAGAGAAAGACTGGCCTCTTACGAAGGCGTCCCCCTTGGTCTTGCCGAGTTCCTGTCCATCGCATCCTGGGGTAAGAGCATTCGGGCAGAGAGACACAGGGCAAGCGCAAAGGAAATCGTATCGCTGAAACGCCTGATTGACACAAAAATACGAGTGCAAAAAATACCAGGGCACAAAAGTACTAGTGCACAAATATACCAGTGCACAAAAATGCCAGTGCACAAATATACCAGTGCACAAAAATACCAGTGCACAAAAATGCCAGTGCACAAAAATACCAGTGCACAAAAATACCAGCGCACAAAAATACCAGCGCACAAAAATACCAGTGCACTGTGCAGCCGTGCCCCACAAGTACCCTTACATGGTTGCTCACCTTGGCCATGTTAAATGAAGCGTATTTCTGAAACGCCTTTGCAAGCACGTCATCATTGACCTCGTTGCCCAGATTACCGCAAAAGAGACGGTGGTCATCTGAAGAAAGGGAGGGTGCATGGGGGTATGGGGGTATGGGGGTACGGGGGTATGGGGGCTTGGAGGTATGAGTCAAGGCCTTGGGTTGGGCGCGGTGCTTTGAGTTGCGAAACTCCGCCAAGTTGCGCTGGGTTTTGAATCTCCAAGCGCAACTCAATGTGCCAGGCCAGGCCAGTTGCACAAGTCGGCGGAATTGCGCAGCTGATGTACCAGTTGCGTAGTCAAAAATTTTCGGGGCATGTGGACAAGAGAGCAGAGAGAGAAGATAGCGGGGGTATGGTCACAACTTTGCACAAAACGGATGAAAGTGACGCCGTTAAAGAACGACGGTAATTTTCAATGCGCCATTCTCCAGCCTGACCATTTACCCATGCTTATGCGTCGCATTTACCCACGCATCGCATTGCATTTACCCACGCATCGCATCGCATTTACCCATGCTTATGCATTTCTCCTAGCTGACGAAGTGGAGCAAGCATTAAGGTTGACCGAGACAAACTCGATGCTAGCTCAACGGCATCGGCTAAGCGAAAAGCATACACATAGGGTAACCGATCCGGCAAAAAACAGCGTATGCTAGTTTTTTCCTTCCGTAGCATGGGAAACAACACGTTCGTCCACACATTGGGAAGCTTCCGAGGCTAGAGGCCAGTCTCCAGACAACAGCGTGAGGAGTCTATTTTTGAGGCGCCTCAAAAAAGAAAACAACACGTTTCATCCGCATACTCGATAGCTTCTGAGGCTAGAGGCCAGTCCCCGGACAACAAGACCTTCGTCCGCACTTCCCAAACGCCCATATTCCCACATGGTCACGTTCACACGCTCTCACTCACTGGCATAAATGATCACTCACTCTCTCACCCACTCTGCGAAAGTCGGATCTGGCTACTAAGGCATCTCAACTTAACCACAACCACAGCATTCTTGGGCAACTTTTGAGTCGACTCAAAATTCACCTCAAATGCTCAAATCTCACTGCCACAGTGCCACCCACCCACTCTGCGAAACTCGGATCTAGCTACTGAGGCGTGTCAAAACCACAACGATCTTGGGCAGCAGGGGGCCAATTCTTGAGGAGCCTCAAAAAAAGACTCAGCCACTCAGCGAGAGTCGGATCTAGCTACAAGGGGTGTCAAAACCACAACGTTCTTGGGCGACAGACAGGGGAACGACTCACTCTCAGGCCACTCCGTGAGTGTCGGATCTTCCCACTCCTCCCAGCCACAAAACAAAAGTCGCACTTAGCGTTAAGGCGTCGTAAAACCACAGCTTTCTTGGGCAACAGGTGAACGACTCACTCTCAGGCCACTCCGTGAGTGTCAGATCTTCCCACTTCTCCCGGCCACTCAACAAAAGTCGGATCTAGCTACTATGGCGTGTCAAAACCACAGCGCTCTTGTGCAACAGGTGAACGACTCACTCTCAGGCCACTCCGTGAGTGTCGGATCTTCCCACTTCTGCCCCGCTGCAGTTCTTGGCACTGGCCGCTTTTTCTTTTGCTGCCCGGCAGCCTGCCCGGCCACGCCCAGCGGCATGCCACTGGCCAGGGCAGCTTTGACTCCCTCGAGCGCTGCTGGGTTGATCATTGCTGCATCCCTTTGAAACAGCTGCTCCGCCTGGAGGGAGGAGGGAGAAGGACGGAGGGACAAAGGGGGGGGGGGGTTTAGACTCCCCTCCAGCGCTGCTGGGTGAATCGTTGCTGCTTCCCTTTGAAAAGGTTGCTCGCCTACAAGGGAGGGGGAGAGAACGCAGGAAGCAGCAACCTTTGAGTACTCAAAGTGGGTGCTTTTCATTGTTCAGGCAGCAGCCCAACTAGACTCATCTGGAACAAATGACGTGAATAGGGGTCTGGTTTCGAGACGTCTCAACCACAGCACAGCATCGTTCAGGCAGCAGCCCAACTAGACTCATCCGCAACACAGACCCACGCAGGTCGGTAGCATTCACACATTACAACTCACCTGTGAGTTGATGGGCTTTCCAGCCGCTCTCGCTGCATTGGGGTTGGCCTGATAACAAGGGGATGCCAGGGGGGGAGCAACAAGGGGGGGAGCAACAAGGGGGGGAGCAACAAGGGGGGGAGCAACAAGGGGGGGAGCAACAAGGGGGGGAGCAACAAGGGGGGGAGCAACAAGGGGGGGAGCAACAAGGGAGTGGTTGTTAGGGAGAAAGCAACTAGGAGCGGGGAGGGAGGGTGGGGAGTTGATCCGCTTTCCAGCCGTCCTCGCTGCATTAGGGTTGGCCTGATAAGAAAGGGATGCCAGGCGGGAGAGCAACAAGGGGGGGAGCAACAAGGGGGGGAGCAACAAGGGTGTCAGGGGAGGGGAAAAGGGAGGGAGGGGGGGTATGTATGTCAGGGAGTGGGCTATTTGGAAGTGACAATGATAAGGAAGGTGGTCACTGAGAGGAGCAAGGTGATCCTCTCAGGAATTCAGGCAGATAGCACCAACGGTCCAACACTGCCCGTCACAGTCACTCCCCGCCCCATACTGTCCCCAACACTAACATTAACACTAACATTAACACTAACATTAACACTACCATTAACATTAACACTAACATTAACACTACCATTAACATTAACACTAACATTAACACTAACACCATGTCACCAACACTAACTCAGATTACTCTCAGCAAGATTCCTCAGAGGAGCAAGGGTAGTCAGCAGTGCACGGAGCAAAGATGGTGAGTGCAAGCAACGATGTGCTCACCAGGAGTTCTCACAGAGATGTCTCCTGCCCGTTGCTCGCCGCCCCATACTGCCCCCAACGCTAACATTAACACCACTAACACCAACAGTAACATCAACACCACTAACACCAACACTAACATTAACACCACTAACACCAACACTAACATTAACACCACTAACACCAACACTAACATCAACACCACTAACACCAACACTAACATTAACACCACTAACACCAACACTAACATTAACACCACTAACACCAACACTAACATTAACACCACTAACACCAACACTAACATTAACACCACTAACACCAACACTAACATTAACACCACTAACACCAACACTAACATTAACACCACTAACACCAACACTAACATTAACACCACTAACACCAACACTAACATTAACACCACTAACACCAACACTAACATTAACACCACTAACACCAACACTAACATTAACACCACTAACACCAACACTAACATTAACACCACTAACACCAACACTAACATTAACACCACTAACACCAACACTAACATTAACACCACTAACACCAACACTAACATTAACACCACTAACACCAACACTAACATTAACACCACTAACACCAACACTAACATAACACCACTAACACCAACACTAACATCAACACCACTAACACCAACACTAACATCAACACCACTAACACCAACACTAACATCAACACCACTAACACCAACACTAACATCAACACCACTAACACCAACACTAACATCAACACCACTAACACCAACACTAACATCAACACCACTAACACCAACACTAACATTAACACCACTAACACCAACACTAACTCGGATTACTCTCTCTGCGTGTTTTTCAGAGGAGCAACGGTAGTCAGTGAGCGAGCGGACTTTTGAGTCGACTCAAGAGCGAGCGGAGAAAAGAAAGATGGTGAGCGCAAGCAACGATGGGCTCACCAGGAATTCTGACAGTGATGTTCCCTGCCCGTTGCTCCCCGCCCCATACTGCCCCCCCATCGCTCCAAACCCCCCCCCACCTGCTCCAAATGTTGCTACCCCCCCTCTGTACCCCCCTGGCCCCGCCCCATAGCCTCCTGCGCCCATCCCCCCCATCCCCCGCCCATGCCCCCCATCCCCCCCATCCTCCGCCCATGCCCCCAAACCCCCCATTCCCCCGTATCCCCCTGCGCCCCCAAGCCCCCCCACTCCGCCAAGCCCTCCCCCTGCTGCATATGGCGCTGCCCCTCCGTATTGTGACATGCCTATAGTCACACCCGCGTGACTAGGACCAGCCCCATACCCCGCTGAAGGCCCCCCTGCTGCTGCTGCTGCTGCTGCTGATGGCGGTGGTGGTGATGGTGCGGTTGGTAACGGAGAGGCGGAGACAGTAGGCGCAGGCGGAGGAGGGGGAGGAATTGGCGGAGTGGGCTTGCCTGCAGCTGCTGACTTTTCCGCCTCCTTTCCCCCCTCTTTTCCCCCACCATCTTTCTCCGCCTCCCCCTCCGCCCCTTCCCTCCCCGCCTCTTCCGCCTTGGTCGCTTTCACAGGCGCAGCAGCGTATACTTTCCGCGTAGGGGGAGCGGCAGGGGAGGGGCGGAGGGGGGAAGTGGCGGAAATTGTGTCCTCCCCCCCGTGCCACCAGTGAAAGGCGGAACGGGTGAATGCGCGGGTGGGGGTGTGGGGGGAAAGGGCGGAAACGATGGTCGCGCGGGTGGTTGGTAGCGCGGAAACTGGGTTTGTGCGCCTGATGCTGGCGGGGGAAGGGGCGGGGAAGGCGCAACAGGCGCAGCAGGGGGAGTAGCGGCGGGAGACTGTGACCAAGAACCGGCGGGGCGATAAGGCGGAGTTGGAGGAAAGGCGGAGGGCGGTGGGGGGAGGGCGTGTGGCGGAAGCGGGGAAGGCGGACGACCAGGCGCAGGGAGACGGCGGAAGGGGCAGGCGGAACAGGCCCAGGGTGAGCGGGCAGGGGGGAAAGCGAGGGCCGCGCAGGAGAAGCCCCTGGGGGAAGCGGCGGTGGCGGCCGAGGGGGAGGCGGAGCAGGGGAAAGGGGAGGTGCGGCTCTAGCGGGGAGCGGCGGAGCGGGCGGAAGGGGCACTTGCGCGAGGAGGTGCGCGGGGGGCGGAACGGCCTTGGCGGAAGAGGACTCCGCGCCGAGTGCGCGCATCTCCTCTTCGAAGCGATCCAGCTCGCTTAGGAGATGCGCCATGGCGGATAGCTGAACCTCCTACCAGCCAGCTGCTGCCTAGTTGAAACTCCTGTTAGCAGAACTTAGCTGCAGGACTTCGTACTTAGCTGTAGTATTTCAATAAGTAGCTGCAGCACTTTGTGGCTGTCCTACACAGTGAGCCTAGAGTAGCACTTAGCTGTAACTGTAACACATCGTTGTAACAGCAGAGGAGGCAGACGAAGACATCAGCAAATGCGAAGCTTGACCGCAGCTAAGACTGAGGAGGCTGAGCGCCAGACGACTGGGACGAATGCGGAGCAGCGTCGTGTCGCCGTTTCAGTGGAGTTTTGAGGCGCCTCAAAAGCAGCGTCGCGTCGCCGTTTCAGTGGAGTGCTAGAGTAGAGCACAGGGCGAGCGGCGACTGAACGGATAAGGCGAAAGCGAGGGAGATTGGCGGGGCAGCGTCAGTCACCTACTCGCGAGAAAAAGGAGCAGCGTCGCGGCGTGAGTGGACTACAGTAGAGCACAGGGCGAGCGGCGACTGAACGAATGAGGCAAGATCGAGCGAGATTGGAAGAGAGCCGTTTTAAGAACGCGTTAAGAATCGTGAATTCGAGAGTCGGGACCTCGGTAAGAGTGGTGAAGCCGACCGAGGGGGAACGCTCAAGGATCGTGTTTAGGCTTCCCTAGACCAGTCATGGTTCTAGGCTACTCGTACTTATTGCGACCATTGCAACGGCGATAGCCAGGCGGGAGAGTTCGGGTTTGAACTTGGGGATGGAACACTCGAGAGAGATCAATCTCGTTAGTGGGTAAACCGATAGTGCCGGATAAGTTGGGCAACAAACACCTGAACAATGTGTAAGCTCGCGTTGATGGAAAAATGAGTAGAAAACATTCACAAAACAAATGGATGAAATACGGGTGTTCCAGATTCTTTCAAAAATCAAAGGCCGTGGATGGAAACGGAAATAAAATGTTCCTCAATGCGCATTCAAAGCCACGAGGTCTATATGCATGTCATTTGTACAACTTCCAAAAAAGTTTGTAATTAGGCCTCTCGATATCAAGGTGAAATAGGCTGATGACCCTTACTATAAGGGTGGGGTACACGTTGAAAAGAGTTAAGAAGCTAGCTAGGCATTGTTGTGATAAATGAAGTTTTGCATTCCTGCAAGTTCCGTTTTCAGTGTAATTAGCAGTATCCAGTTTCTCGGTAAGGAAACATGTCTGAGTGCTGACGTCAGCAAAGCTTCGCGGGTCTCGGGATTACGTCAGCATATCGTTTCAGTTACGCAATAGGCGTAACGAACCGCTTAAGTCACGCGAACAGTCGCGACCCTATAGTATGACGAATAGGTCGCATAGCGCGATAGTGACGAACAGGTACATTAGCGAACAGATACTTTCCATAGAGCTATAAATTCTTGTAATGCCTTTCTATTATTAACCTTGACTTTACACAGAATTATGTGCTCAGGTTATTCAACCTTTGACTACCCACAAGTTCATGTGCTCAGGTTCACTCTGATAAGACTTCCGCTGTCTTACTAGTCTACCATTCCAGCAAAGATCCTTGGTTAAGTACTCGTGTTAGCAGATTCTATACTTAGTCTCCAGCAACACCTGTCAAATTATTTCAGGCATGAGAATGGCGAGAGGTTTTAGCTAGGGAGAAAAGTTGATGATAGAAAAGAGAGATGGGCTAGAAGAGGGAGGGATACAAGAAGGGTGTTGTACCCTCTACAATATGATCCAGTATTATAGCACACCTAACCTACCTAGCCTACACAACTGTAAATAAATAATATATATAAGTTGAGATGCGTTGGACCCTTATTTATTTGAGTGGTTTTCTTATAAACCCTTATGAGAAAATGTAGAAATTTTTAGGGCCCTAATTTATAAGAGCACCGATTGTCAAACATGTTTAGTTATCATGCTTGTATAGACTATATAGGGTCATCTTCTAGAGAGTACAACAGTTAGGTATATGTTTGTGTACTCTCTCTCTCTATTCATCAATTTCACTGTTTGATATGGTATCACGCGTAGGTAGGATCCCCCCCCCCCTCACGCTTCCGCTCGCCCCCTAGCTGGGCCCCGTCGTGCTCCTAGCCCCGTCGCGACCCTCCCTAGCCCCGTCGCGACCCTCCCTAGCCGCGTCGCGCCCCTTCCTGGGCCCCGTTGCGCCCCTTTCTGGGCCCCGTCGCGCTCCTCCCAGGCTTCGTAGCGCCCCTCCAGGCCCCGTCGCGCCCCTTTCAGGGCTTCGTAGCGCCCCTCCAGGCCCCGTCGCGCCCCTTCCAGGGCCTGGTAGCGCCCCTCCAGGGCCCCGTCGCGCTCCTCCCAGGCCCCGTAGCGCCCTCCTGGGCCCCATTGCGCTCCTCCAGGCCCCGTCGCGCCCCTTCCAGGGCTTCGTAGCGCCCCTCCAGGCCCCGTCGCGCCCCTTTCAGGGCTTCGTAGCGCCCCTCCAGGCCCCGTCGCGCCCCTTCCAGGGCCTGGTAGCGCCCCTCCAGGGCCCCGTCGCGCTCCTCCCAGGCCCCGTAGCGCCCCTCCTGGCCCCATTGCGCTCCTTCCAGGCCCCGTCGCGCCCCTCCCTAGCCCAGTCGCGCTCCTCCCAGGCCCCGTAGCGCCCCTCCTGGGCCCCATTGCGCTCCCCCAGGCCCCGTCGCGCCCTACCTGGGCTTGGTAACGCCCCTCCAGGCCCCGTCGCGCCCCTACCCATCCCCGTCGCCCCTGCTCGGCCCCGTCGCCCCTGCTCGGCCCCGTCGCCCCTGCTCGGCCCCGTCGCCCCTGCTCGGCCCCGTCGCGGCCTATCGGCCGCGTGGCGCCCGCCCGGCCCCTGTCGCACCTGCCCGGCCCCTGCTCGCCCGCCCGGCCCCGTCGCCCCTGCCCGCCCTGCTGTGGCCTGCCCGGCCCCGTCCCTGCCGCCCGGCCCCGTCGCCGCGCCCGGCCCCGTCGCAGCCGCCCGGCCCCGTCGCAGCCGCCCAGCCACGTCGCAGCCGCCCGGCCACGTCGCAACCGCCCGGCCCCGTCGCCCCTGCCCGGCCCTGCTATGTCCGGCCCGGCCTCGTCCCTGCCGCCCGGCCCCGTCGCAGCCACCCGGCCCCGTCGCAGCCGCCCGGCCCCGCCGCAGCCGCCCGGCCTTGTCGCCGCCGCCCGGCCCCGTCGCCGCCGCCCGGCCTTGTCGTGCCTGCCCGGCCCCGACGCACCTGCCCCGGCCCTCCATACTTCCTGGTACTGTCCCCCGTTCCCCGCACCACTTTGCACCCTCCTGCACTTTCCTACCCCGCCTTGCATCGCATTGCACCTCACTGGATAGCACTGACCGCACTGCACCGCACTGGACCGCACTGCACCGCACTGCATCGCACTGCACCGCACTGGACCGCACTGCACCGCACTGCATCGCACTGCACCGCACTGGACCGCACTGCACCGCACTGCATCGCACTGCACCGCACTGCACTGTCCTCCACTGCCCCTCATGGCTGCTGAGCTTCGTTTTGATGTTGAGGGTCAGCCTCTGGAGTTCGAGGCGTGGTTGGCTGACCTTCGCCGCCACCTCACTGGCCAGCGGCAGGACGGCCACCCGCTTTCTGCACACCTAGACGGTATGCTCCCCTGCCCTGACCCCCCTGCTGTGCTGCCCGCTGATCCCACGCCCGCTGAGCGCGAGTCCACTGCCGCTGCTGCCCTTGCCCGCTCTGTCTGGCTTTCCCGCGATGCCCTTGCTCAGCTCGCCATTAGCAATGCCCTCCCCCCCACTGAGCGCCCTCGCTTTAGAACCATTCCTACCGCCCAGGCCTACCTCGATGCTGTCATCAAGCGCTATTCTACCCCTCCTGCTGCCTCAGTGGGTCGCCTGATCCTTCCCCTGCTCTTTCCTGACCTGGCGTCTTTCCCCACTGTCTCTGACATCGCTGCCCACCTGCGCTCGATAGATGAGGCCTGGCGCGCTGCCTGCACAGATGCTCAGCTTAGAGTCCACCAGCCTCCCATGACCTCTACCCTCTACCTCCTTGCCACCCGCCTACCTGACCGCCTTGCCGCTGCCCGCGACCAGTTCCTTAGCATCCACCCTGCTGCTCTCACCCTCACCGACTTTGTTGACACCCTGACTGCCATAGAGACTCGTCACCGCTCCATAGCCCTGGCGAGCGGTACAGTACCGGTCCCTATCTTTCAGGGTTGTGCCCCGCTCAGTGTACCTTCTCCGACGGCTCTGTCGCTGTGGCTGAGACTGCTGCTGCAGTGCAGTCCCGCTCGGCGAAGGGCCGCCGCCCCAAGGTTGGGAGCGGCGGAGGCGGCGGGGTGCGGGTGGGGTAGTGGTGGAGGCGGGTCGTCCGGTGCCGGTGCGGACGTGGGACCCTGCCCGGTCCAGCTGCCCCGCTGCCTCCACAGTTGCAGCAGCCGCAGCAGCAGCAGTCGCCGCAGCCGCAGCCTTCGCAGCAGCCGCAGCAGCCGCCGCAGACGAGGCCGGCGAGTACTCTCCCACCTGGGTGGCCTGGAGCTGGTGGTGGTCGTGTGCGTGGTGGTGCACCGGGTGGTGGTTCTGGAGGCGGGCCCTGTCAGTACCAGCTCCAGACCGGTCCTCGCCGCGGCTTCGTTTGCGGTAAGATCGGTCATTCTACTCCTCGCTGTTTTCGTCGCCTGGACGACCTGTTCCGCCAGCGCTTTGGCCCGGCGCCCGACCTCCCTGACTGGCACAGCTTGCTTAGGCGTAGCAGTAGGATTTTTGACTTGGACATGGATGCCATTGTAGCGGCCTTGCATGTGATGTATGCTGATGACTCTAGTGTGCTTCCCTCTTATTACCCCGTGTTGCCTAGTGTAGCGGTGCCTAGCGTAGACTCCCCTGCTGCGTCAGGCGTAGGATCTCCTGCTTTGCTTAGCCTTGGTGCTTCCACCGCTTCACTGCTGCCTCGCGCGACTGCTGCGCTTTCCTTCACCTTGGACTCTGGCGCCTCCCGGTGTTTCTTCCGCGACTCCACGACGCTGACGCCGCTGCCTGTTCCCGCTGCAGTTACTCTTGCTGACCCCTCCGGTGGTCCCGTCGTTGCCCGCAGTTCCACCTCCCTTCCCTGTCCGGCGGTTCCTTCGGGCACTCTCACAGGTCTGCATATCCCCTCGTTCTCCAGGAACCTAGTTGGTGTCGGCTGCCTCCAAGACCTTGGCGTCACCACTACGTTCCCTGGTCACGAGCGGTATGCTGTCTGTACCGAGGCCGCCACTGGTGCCCCCTTACCACTTTCCCCCGGGACCCGGTGTCCGGCCTGTTCACACTTGACACCGCCGCCGTCCCCGGCTGGGTCTTCCCCCCCGGTAGCTGCGTCCACCCAGGTTGCAGCCGCGTGCTCCTGTCGGTCCCTCACTCACCCGACTCTCCTTTGGCACCACCGCCTTGGTCACCCTGCACTCCCACGTCTGCGTCACATGTCCCAGCACGGTCTCGTCCTTGGTCTCCCCGGTTCGTTCCCCGAGTTTCCCTCCTCCCCCGCCCCACCGTGCACGCCTTGAGTCGAGGGCCGGCTCCGCCGTGCCCCTCACTCCTCCTCTTTTCCCCCTACCACCGCACCACTGCAGACTCTGCACATGGACGTCTGGGGCCCAGCCCCGGTCCATGGGCCGCGTCGCGAGCGCTTCTTCCTAGTGCTTGTCGACGACTTCACGCGCTACACCACCGTCTTCCCCTGGAGCGGAAGGCCGACGTGCCTGACGTTCTCATCCCCTGGCTTGTCTCTGCTCGTGTCC